TTCTATTGTATCAAATACTTATTTCATGCAATAAAATGGAAATTAATTATTTAAAATGTGATTTTCTGGATTTTTTTTTATTTTTTTTTAGATTCTGTCTCACAGTTGAAGTGTACCTACGATGAAAATTACAGATCTCTCCATTCTTTGTAAGTGGGAAAACTTGAAAAATCGGCAGTGTATCAAATACTTATTTGCCCCACTGTACATTTATGATATAAAAAATGAAATTACACCTAGTAATAAACATACTTCTTGATATCTGTATCTTAATTCTTACATATTAAAATGCAATTTTCACCAGTAAAATTTTTTATTTCTGATATCATGAATTCCTTTTTGGATATGTGCATAATTTAATGACGAGTGCCATCCCCAGAATGGCGGATAGACGACAAGGTGCAGAGCTCAAAAGAAAACGGCAAATTTGATGGCCCTCTCATGAAAATAAAATGCTATTCTCTTGTATTTTTAATATTTACAGTGCCTTGCGTAAGTATCATTTTTTTCATGTTCCTGCCTTGTTAAACTGCTTTAAATTACTTTTTTTCCACATCAATCTACACTCCATACACCATATTGACAAAGCAAAAACAGAACTGTCACAACTTCGTAAATTAGTTAATTTAAAGCAGTTAACATAAGGCAGCAACATAAAACGTTAAAAAAAACACTACTTTCGAATACTTTCGCAAGGCACTGTATTTTGTTTTCTTGTTAACAGAGGCTATTTACACTAATTCCACCCACCAACATGTGGTTGTGTTAGACAACATTGCAAAAAGTGCGCAATCTAAAGCAACTCCAGTGGCGCGGGTAAAGCCCATAACAATACTTTTTTTTTTTGACCCGATTGACCCGAGTTCGATTCCTCTTTCTGCCGAACTCGTTCTTCTCCCTTTTCACATCCCGTATCACATTGGAAAGGCATTTATTTTCAATAAAAATGAAGAATATAATAAAAAAAGTGAAAAATAATGGTGTCTCTATCGGTTTAGTTTAGGTGTAGGGAGGGCTTTATTGTCCCAAAGATGCATCCATTTAATAATTTTAATAAAAATTATAATTTACACTCAATACATTATTATTGCATACTGTTTTACAATATTGGGGTTCAGATATCGGCCACTATTTGCACTAAGTATTAGAAACAGCATCTAACTGCTATTATCGCAAAGAAAATACTCCTATTTATAAACTGTGTAAATATAATCTATCGCTATTTGCACTTAGTGTAAATAGCATATCATTAAAAAATACTGCTATTTTCACTTCGTGTAAACAGAGTCCATTGCAAAATCAAATTCTAAACTATCAGCTATTTCAACTGGAAGATGGCTGTGGCTGAAGATATAAATGAAGGCTGTGATATAAAATGTATCCTCTAGAGGGAGCTACAGGATAAGGAATCTTTTAAGCCTAGTCTTTTTTTTTCCATTTTTTTTTTTTTTTATGAAATGCAATAAATGCATATAACCGTAGTGTACTGACAGTAGTTTCATATTATTAGTGTACATAGAAATATGTGAAATGCTCATAGATCATTACATGTTTTTTTTTTTTTACATTTACCCCAATAAAACCCGTTTGTCAAGTTTCCAATCATGATTAAACAGGCTATAGTGCTGTACATTTAAAGTGAAGACACCATTTTATTTATCTCTTTTGAGATAACATAGCCTATAGTCTCTATTCCATTCCATTCCGTGTTGTTTTGCCAAAACAACACTCAATGATAAAAGGAATATTAGAGAGACACATTTCCAAAACAGAAAAAGGTTACAAATAAAGCATTCATTAATTATTTTATGATACAAGTGTTGTTAGGTCTTAAGTAAACACATTTATAGCTATAAAGTAAAACAACAACAATTATAATAATAATAAACAAAGAACCAGATGGGCAAGATTACATAATTCAATTTGAGTAATTACAATTGATAGAGACTGTTGCATATTTTATTCAAATATTATGTCTTAAGCAACTGTCAGAAGAGTTAGTGTATCAGTGTAGTGCCATATTTAATGTAACATTGAAATGGCTGAGACGGGCATAAGAAAGAGGTTCAATAGGACTTTATCATTCATCTTGTCCAGTGTAGGCCCTGTACTTCAAGAACTGGACAACAGGTTATATAAAACTAATGCAGTTTATTAGCACATTACAGTGTCTATCATGTCATATTTTAGCTACGCACCCGTTTGGTCCCAATGGTCAAGAAAATCAGAGCCGAATTGGGCAGAGAGTGTAAATAGTTTGTCTCATCATTAGGCTATCCCATATGAGAAAGTGTGGGTGCACATAATAATACATCAAAATTTAAATAAATAAATAAATACAGCAGCTAATAACATTGCATTACACTTTGTTTTATGCACCCGCCTTTAATCAAATATGACAACTCGTTCTGTATTATAGACGTATGTAAATGGAACGATATTAAAAAATCGTCCAGCAAAACATTCAAACATTGTTTGACGCATTATACATTATCTGTCTTTACCTCATTTAGTAGCCTAGCTGTACACAAAAGCTAATGTTTACAAAAAGGTTTTATTTTTTTAATTTTTGTTGAAGGCTTATTGTATTTTCTATTTGATGCATTGGAATAAAGTGTAACGAAACGAAAATAAACATGAAAAATTACATGAGTTTATTTTTTATGTTCATGACAATGATAAAATAATGAATAAATTAATGCCTTGTTCATTTTTTCCCCTTTAATTATCCGAAGGACTTGGTGGCCAATAAAAAGAAACTAATTTTTTTTTAAACAATTAACAAAAAAAACAAACAAACAAAAAAAATCCAGCCATAATATAATTATGTTTCATTGACTAAATGAGTAAATAAAGGAGGAGCATGGATGTTCTTCCGCCATCTTTGGCCTATTGGATTATGGGAAAAACATCTCATAAATATTCATTAAACTCATTACCATAGCTATTGTTACCTGTAATTTCTAGATATCTGTAAAAGTATTTTTACTAGTTACAACATTATTTAAGATATCAGTAATTCTATTTTCTCTAGTTGCAAGGGCAATTTCAGATATGAACTGCCTTTGTTGATATCAATAATTACTTAGTAAATTACTAGTAAAAATGTGAATTCCTGATATCAAGAATTTAATTTGTACTAGTTGAAATGTTAATTCTTGATATCTGTAAATGTATTTCTAATATCAATATAATTCCTGATATCTAAAATGGCTTTTTTACTAGTAACAATCACATTCATGATATCAGAAATTAACATTGTCACTATTGACAATCGAATTATTGATATCAAAAATGAAATTTTTTACTAGTAACAATTCAATTGTTGATATCAATAGTAGCCATTTGCACTAATAACCATGCAGTTACCAATATCAAAAATGTTTTTACTAGTAAGAATTGTATTTCTAAAATGTGAAATTGGAATTTGAACTAGTAAGATATCAACAATTGAATTTGAATGGCAGCCTATGGTGACACTTAACTAGTGAAAATACAATTACAGATATCAAGAATTATAGGTTTTACTAGTTGAAATGCAATTCCTGATATCAAGAATTAGCATTTTAACTAGTGAACAAGAATTCATATCCTGTGAAGGAATAAAAGTCAAAACGGCTTGCCATAGATTAATCGCATCCAAAACAAAAGTGTATATATATATATATATATATATATATATATATATTATGTACAAACCTTTATTTTGGATGCGATGAATCAATTTGACAGCACTAGTATGAATAAATGAAAATATATCAAAGGTTTATGGCATTTGTAACCATCTGAATGAATATTAACCATTGTTGCTATATAATAAGTATATATAATTAAAATAATAATAAAACCCTCTTATATCACTGTAGTTTCACAGTCCCTTGCTTTCAGCTTAACTCTAGCCTTAAAAATAAATAAATAAATTGCGTTACTGACACCTTGGGATGAATCACATATGCTGCTGTTTTACATATTCAAATCACATATTAAGTGTTACTTCAAGTTAAGTGGTACTTCGTAATACAGTTAAAGCTTATATCTAAAAAGGGTGTTCAAGCTCAAAAGATATTACAATGTCAAACTCTACTCACCATAGGCACATTGTCCAAACCAGATTCTTTGATCTTGTCTTTAACACGGCGAGCAATGTCTCTCAGATAAGGCAGAGAAAACTTTTCAAACTCCACTGGGCCCAAGCAACCAGTATGAGACTCGAAAACCTGCAGAGCCTAAAGGAAAGACATTTTAAGGAAATTAGATAAATTTGACTCAGTTACATTCTGTGTCTGTGAAGTCTTTACTGAACATCTAAATAGTGCTACAGATTTTTAAACTGTTCTCCTCCTTGATCTCAATTCATTCGTTCTCTCACCTGAGCTCCAGCTTTCACCTGTCCGAGAAGATACTCCACTATGACGTCTGCTAGCTGGCTCAGGAGTTTGTGGCTGGCCTCTGGGTACCTGTAGAGCCAGCGTTTAGCTTTTGAGTGTGTCGTGGAGCCTCCTCCTTCAATCATGTAGGACATTAGAGTCCACTGCCATTCAGAAGAGATACAATGATGGAGATCATTAATGTATCATTAATGTAGTTTCAATTATTAACTTTGCAAAACTAAGAGGGGGGCAAACACTTCTTCACACAGGGCCATGTATTTTTGGATTTTGTTTTCCCTTAATAATAAAAACCTTCATTTAAAAACTGCATGTTGTGCTCACTTGTTATCTTTTACTAATATTTAAATTTGTTTGATGATCTGAAACATTAAAGTGTGACAAACATGCAAAAAAATAAGAAATCAGGAAGGGGGCCAACACTTTTTCACACCACTGTAGCTACTGTCAACCATCTAGACATTTGCTTCTATTTAGCTTCCAAAATAAATACTAAACGATTGATCTTTTTATTTGTTATCCTCAAAACTCTTGTGACACACTGTGCATTTGCAAAGCATGTTCTCTAGTTATGTGAGGATTGTCGCTTGGTTTCTCACTGGAGCTCCAGTGAAGCCGATGAGAGGGACTTTTCCCTCTATTCTGTGTCGTGTCAGTGTGATGGCTTTAAAAACGTAGTCGAGTTCAGACGACACGTCCACTTTAGTCTTTAGTCTCTGCAGATCTTCAGGCTCCTTCAGTGGTTCTGGGAAAGTGGGGCCCTTTCCTGGACTCATCTGAACCTCCATTCCCATGGCCTAGTCATACACATTTTATACATTAATAGACATTGCACACTAATGTTAATTGGTAATTCAGTAAGTTAGAGGTCAATTGACCTTCATTTACCTGAGGGACCACCAAGATGTCAGAGAAGATGATGGCAGCATCAAATGGGAATCGTCTGAGTGGCTAAAACAGAAAATTGAGACATTGTTAAAACTCTATATGCTATAAGAAGCAGCTAAGAATGAAGGTGCTCAGTGGTGCTGACCTGTAGCGTAAGCTCACAGCAAGCTTCAGGGGAGCGGCATGTCTCAAAGAAATCCTTCCCTGCCCTCGATTCCCTGAACTCTGTTAACAGAGCCACAGAGACAGTTAGTAAATATACTGCATATAGTGAATAAAAAGAACAACTTCACGGTAAACGATCACATTTAGCACTGACCTGATTGGTATATACATAGATTGGTACATACATACCTGGCAGATAGCGGCCAGCCTGTCTCATACACCACACTGGAATGTGCTCGATCTCTTCTCCTTACATGTACGTTGTTTTTTTGGTGTTTGGCTTAGTGTTATGTTAAAAAATTTTTTAATTCTTTTCTTTAATTTAAAGCGGCTCTCAGGAATGTGTCGTTCTTCAGCTCTGGAAAGTCTTTGGGGCTGGGATGGAAAACAGCAGTGTCAAAATATCTCAGTAACTAATTCACACAACATTACTTTTCACAAATGATTAAAATCTGTAGTGGAATTAATTTGTGCTCAGAAGCCTCTCCCTTTGGTTGAGATGATGATCAGGTTTCACAGATGTTTTAAGCAGCAAGTGAAGAGAGTAGATAAGGGCTTTTGAGATCAGGGGACTAACGGTTTCCTCTTTCTTCACAGCTTGATAAGCATTTGTGCAGAGAGAGCCACACAAAACACACCCTGTTGTCTAAATTACAAAGCCATGCAGATAAACACCACCGTTCAAAAGTTTAAGGTCAGTATGTTTTCTTTTTAAGAATTTAATACGTTTTAGCTTAATTTTTTTGTTTTTCATTTAAATGTTAAGTTTTGAAATTTTGTTGTATGCATTTGTCATTTTTATTTAATTTCTTTATTTTTAAAATGTGTATAAGTAGTATAAAGTTTTAGCTTTGGATCTGTTTTTAGTTGTTTTAATACTACAATTGATTGCTTCTGTTGTCCTCATTTGTAAGTCGCTTTGGATAAAAGCATCTGATAAATGACTAAATAACTAACTAATACTTTTATACAACAAGAATTTATGCATCATGAATAAAAAGTGGATCGAAATGGACCAAAACAGTGAATATTTTTTAAATTGTTACAAAATAATTTTACTTAACCATTTAACTCTTATCTCTTTTTAACTCTCTATTCTTCAAAGAATCTATTAAAAAATGTTTCCACAAAAACAACTGGTTTCAAATGAGATAATAAAAACTCTTGAACGGTAACGTTAGTGTATGTGATGTATACTGAAATGTAAATATAATTGTAATATATAATAATTGTAATAATTATATATAATCATTATTGTATTATCAATACTGATATAAAACGCTCTTTGTTTATAAAATAATAGATTTTATTTTTTGATTGAACGTTAAACACATTAATCAGTAATCAGTCGTCATTATTATTGCAAATCTTTTTTTTTTTTTACTTTATATCTGACATTTGAACACTTTGAACTGTACAATTACGTCCAAGGTACATTTGCACACATCAAGAAAATACATCTATTCAAAACATAAATAAGACAGCTGAAGGATATGAGTTTCCCACAGTTTACAGTTACTAAAGTGCTTATGTAACATGCTACTTTTCTCACAATAGCTACTAGCTACTTTGTATTACCAGTGCCTGTATAATCGATATATGCTTTATAAACGAATCTGCTTGTATCTTAACACAGATGCCAGTCGTATTAGAGAATGCGGAATTACAGAATTACTTTATCATGTCAGTGAGCTCTGGTTCTACAACAACACGTATAATGAAATCATTAAAACACGCCAATCAGCATTCATTCATCATTAACTTACAGAATCAGGCTGTCTTTATCCATTATTGCCAGCGTCAATGAAGAGCTTGAATAAGAGTTTGCAGGCTTGACAAGCTGTTTTCTTCTTGTTGTTTAATGGCGAATAACTCCTTAGAAGCATTGACAAGCTGTTTTACCGCCTGCCTGACACCGTGTTGTAACAAAATGAACAACGTCACGCCTCCAAACTGAGGGCGCGGCCATCTTGAAATGGTCACATGACCAAGAATGGGCGGGCGGGACTTAAAGGTGTAGTTCACCCAAAAATGAAATTTCTGCGCTCATTTACTCACCGTCAAGTTGTCCCAATTACATTATTCTCTTTCTTCTGCTGAACACACCCACAATCAAATGCAATTCAGTACACTTCAATCAAACCGCAATATGGACTAGTGTATGTGAATATTAAATGGCAAAAATACTATTTAACTACTACAGACGACAACCGCGAGCGTTGTGCGTGCTTAAATAGCAAACTAGCAAACGAAACGCGCGTCTGCGCCGTTCATTCCGTCACATTCCGCGTTACACAGTCAATTCCGTTTTTGTGAATAGATTCCGGGATTTCGTCCCCATTTTCTACATCGCCCTACTTTTGCTAAGAAGCACGTTCAACGCGGACGCACAGACGGTTGTCGTGGTAATGAACACCAGAGCAACCACTTGCGCGTCCGCACGCGCATCTCGCATATAAAACGCATTTTAGGGGGCCCAAGGCGGTCGCCTACCTTTGCCTAATGGTTAAGTCCGCCTCTGCATACAGGTTTGGAACAACTTGAGGGGGAGTAAATGATCACAGAATTTGAATTTTTGGGTGAACTATCCCTTTAAAGAAGACCATCAGATAGACTAATTTCCTTAGTTTTGGTAGCATTGCATTTTATGTTTTCTGTATTTTATGCATATGTATTTTATATAGAATTCTGTACAACCTAGAACTGCGTTATCAATCACAAAAGATTCACTTTATTACGTTTCTAGATAATGTACAAATGTACAAAATATTTTAAATATACAAAGCATTTCATTCTTAGCTAATCAAAGACCGGGCAATTTACTTAATTACAAAATATTGCCCTCGGTCACTGTTCATTATTGTAACGTTATCAATATTGTTATTAAAATGTCATACAAAAAAAAAAAAAAAAGGTCAAGATCACACTCTCTTTACAGTGGTTTACAGTGCATGGATTTCATTTAGTCATCCAATTATTTTAATTTAAACCACAGGTTTTCAAACATTTTGTTTCCAAGAACCTTAAAATATGATGATGCTTTTCGAAGGTCCCTCTTAAAAAATATATATAGGCAGCTGTATAATGTCATTTATAAATGTTTAATTCCATCTGAAAAAAATTATTTCAATTCAAATGTATTGGTTTAGCTCCTTTACAATAAATATCCTTCCAAAACAGCTTTACAGTTAACTTGGACAGCCCTAAAAGTAAAATATTTTATTTGCTCTGAATTTATTTGCAGACCTTATAGCAGCCCCCAGACTCCAGTTTGCAAAGCCCTGTGTAAAATGTGTAAAAATAACAATTAAACTTTGGTAGGGTACTTTGAAACATAAAATTATTTACAAATTGAAATGCAGCCATTGAAATTTGAATGTGAACAGCAAAAGTAGTAAACAGGCTGTTAAGACTTCAATTTGAAGCAGAAATAGAAAATCTGAACCTTGCTTACACATAAGTAAGCAGATTGATCCCATTATTAGTTACACATTAGTACATCGATTCATAGATAAATCACAGATCTTTTGATCATCCTGAAACAGTACAAAAATATGATTTTGCATCCTCATGGCTGCTGCTGGTACTGGCCCTCAGTGGCTGTGTAGAAGTCATCTAGTACACTCTGAATATAGTCAAACGTGGGCCGGTCGTCTGGTTTACTCTTCCAGCACGTGGTCATGATCTCATAAAGTTCAGTGGGACAGTTTTCAGGACGGGGCATCCGGTAACCTCTCTGAACAGAGCTCATGACTTCACTGTTACTCATACCTGAGACAAAGAAAAAAGAAAGAAGTGAAAGTGTAAGTGGACTGACAGAGAGAAAGAGAAAAACTGAGTAATAAATGTCACAAGGAGTCTTTTCAGAAAGGTATTTTTGTCTATGATTACGGCAAGACACCACAGGTGTTTTAACTAATTTTAACTAATAGACATCACCATACTTTCCTAGTTGATTAATCACAGTACAAGACGACAAAAAGTTTTTTTTAAATATGCAATTGATACATTATCTAATTAAATATGCACTCATTTGCATACATTTTCAAGACAGAAACTGTAACATTGGATAAAGCCAGGTTCAAAATTCCTGTTTCATTTTGTGACATTAAAGATTGTTACAGAGGGGATTTTGAATATCTCTTTTTATCACTTCATAAATCAGAAAATACTTGAATAAATGTATTATGTTTTTAGGAATAAAATGTTATGTAGATCAGATGAATGGTATATGAACAAATATGAAAAAAACTTCAGAATACAAAAAGGAATAAAACTGTAACGTTTGGTTTATGTAACTGCTACCAAAGTGGAGATTTCTGGCTCAGTGCAAAAAATTTGACAATTAAATGTATACTTTGGATGCTTTCTTTCCACCAGTCTAAAGGAAGACGTAATGAAAGCAAAATAGCCCAAAATCTCAAAACTGACCAGTGCATAAAAAGGTTTTGCCTTTATAGCGTTTTGCCTTAAAGGGGTCATATGATGCGATTTCAAGTTTTCCTTTCTCTTTGGAGTGTTACAAGCTGTTTGTGAATAGATAAGATCCCTAAAGTTGCAAAGACTAAAGTCTCAAACCCAAAGAGTTCCCTTTCATGGGAACTTCGAACTGCGTCCTCTAGGGGTCGCTATGAGGAACGCCTCGTCGTGACCCGTGTCTGAAGCATACATTGAAAAAACACCAACTCGTTGGCCGGCGACAGCCATGACGTCACTACCGGTGCGACTATAGTATAAATAGGCGCCGGGAGCACACATCATTCTCTTCTTCGTCTTCACTGACCG